TGATGGATCGGACTCCAGGGACTTTCCTGGCTGGTATGGATATAAAACTTTATCTGCACTCCAAAAACCTCAATTTTATACTATTGCAGTTTGGATAAGGTTCTACAGCAGACAGAATAGAATTGTGTAATTTTCAACAAGATTGTTGTAGTCTGGGCCTAGCTATTAATTTAATTAATTTATCAAAGCCCTGGATTCTTTTGACTAGGCCTAGCCTAGCCTACGCCAATTCAACACATTATTTAATAATACGTACAGTACCTGTTGTTTTGCTGTACTGCTCAGCAAATTTAATTATTACCAGTAAAATTGATGCGATTTTTATATTGTTTTTGCGTGCATTTCTTTAGGTCTGATTATGTTTTTCCAAGCACACATTCTTCGTTGGGTAATGCTGGTCAGCAGTCTAGTTGTAAACAGAATAGGTCGCGCCCCCAAAAACTCTGCCTGCCCGACAATTGGTCCATTTTCGTGGGGTGTTTTGCACTAGACATGTGCTTCGGCTGTGATGACGTCAGATCGCCCAAAGTTTCATAGTGCGTGACAGTAAACAAACTCGGTGTAATCAAGAATGTTTTGTTGAACAAATTTATAAAACAAAGCAAAAAACAAATAAGAAACCCTCATGGTATTATTTTAGAGTCAAATCTAAATAAACCTAACAAATTAGATTTTATTCTCTACAAATTTCCTCCGTAATAAAATTAGCAACATGTTTTGAATAGCATCTTGAGGTGCATTTGCAATTTACACTAGCGAATCTAACGAATTTGAATTAGACGTCTACTAAAAAGAATAACCAGTAGGAAATTGCTTTGTCGAGTTCCGTCTTTATTTCAGGTTGATTCCAAATGGTTTTTAAGGATTAAAAGCAAGAATATACACTAATTAAAACATCTGAATGCGTACCTAAATTTCACTTCATAATTAACCAACAAAACGTCTACTGGCGTGTCATGTTCATCAACGGATAATCTCCATGGCAATGTGAGTACAGTAAGCGTCTCGTTTTTCACAGCGTGTGGTATGTTGTCGTTAAACAATGTCTTTTGACTATTGTTTGGTTTTTCCAGTGAGTGTTACCGTCCTGAATTGGACAAATCATCCGAGATTCGAAATAGGGAGTTCATGTTTTCAGGAAAGTATTTTATTAAAAGACGAATAGGAATGATTGTGGGACTTAAAAAAATGTTTGGTTTTGCGTGAAATTCGATTTTGTGGGCATTGAGTACACATAGTATTGTTCTATGTTAATATATTTTTTTTTGTTTTTCGAAAATTTGCAAGTGGAAATCTGTATAACTCGATCTTTTTATGCCAGTCCCATTAGATTCGACTTAGGCGGAGTCGACTGTATATAGCCTACATATAATATATTAACAAATACATCATTATTATTAATAACTGATGAGGATGATGATGCTAATTAATTATGATTTTGATGTTAATGATGAT